AAAAAGGAGCTGATACCAAGGGCTCAAGTAAAAAGAAAATGTTTTGAAAATGATGATGGCAACATATGTACAAATGCACTTGATACAATTGATATATAGATATAAGAACTGTAAGAGCCCCCAATAAAATGATTTATAAACAAACAAAAAAGAATGGATGACTTTGAATTATGGTGTTAACAACAAATCGTCAAAGTGACGTGAACTGCCAAAAGAACAAACAGATGTGTCTTAGAAGAAGTACAGCCAGAATGTTCCCTGGAGGCAACGATGGCAAGACTTCATCTCACGTACTGTGGACATATTGTCAGAAGAGGCCAGTCCCTAGAGAAGGACATCATTCTTGGTAGAGTAGAGGAGCAGCCAGCAAGAGGAAGGCCCTTGGCAGGGCAGACGGATGGCCACAGTGGATGCAACCAGGTCTCAGACTTTGTGAGGACAGAGCCGGACCCAGTGGTGTTCGTCGCTGGGAATCGGAGCCTGCTTGATGGTACCTAACAAGACTAAGTGAAGTGGGAATGCCAGAACTGCTCTAATGTACTGAAGAAGAAGGTATATAAAGGCCTGGAGAACTGGTATGTAGAGGTGGGTTTTTCATGTCTGACCCAGCCATCCATCCAGGGAGTGCCCAGGGGACACACGTTTCACCATGCCTGAGAAATCAGTGTGTGCTCTGAGCTCCAGCATTCCCGAATACTACTTTGATCACTCTTCAAGTAGGTCAGTGTGGCAGTTACATCATCTCCTGTCAACTTGCAAAAGGGGAGTCTAGCCTGTCAAGCAGGTCACAGCTTGAGGACCTCATGTGGAGGCGCGAAGGAGATAAATAGCTCACTGGAGGCCAGATACACCCTCCTCTCCCTGCGAGACATTCCTGTTGACAAGCCACATGGAGCTACACTGATGGAGCCAGAGCCCTGGAACTGGAGGAGCCACGTGGAGACCCACATCAGTGCTGTGATACTTCCACCACTACTGGATCCACAAGACTTCCCACCCACTGGCCTGGGATCTTCCTGCAGCATTTGGTGTCATTGCATGGGTTGTGTGAGAGTCTGAAGGGGAATTTATAGAGTGATATTGGACATATGGGCTAATATCGGATTTATGGACTTGATCTGGACTGGGCTGGGATGTTTTCTCAATATACAATTGCTCTTTGGTATAAAGCTCTTTCTTATACGTATATGAGTGTCTTTGGATTTGTGTCTCTAGTCCACCTGGATTAATACAGTTATTGATCTGACTCGGCCTTTTCTCAATATTGATTTCTAAGGCCCATTATAAGAAAGAACAGCCCAAATGTACTGTATTCGTCACATGGAATTTATTTGGCTTTCAAAAGCAACGCGATACACACATACCTGTATTATATCCCATTCATATTAAACAGCCACCCGCGGTCATTCCATCGAGACAGAGAGCAGTGTTTGGTTGCTAGAAGCCGGGGAGGCCCTGGGGGCGTGATTACTTAAAGGGAGTCAGCGTTCTTTTGGGGTCAGGTAAGCGTTTGGAAACTAGAGGGGTGGGGGTGGGGTTACACAGCGTTGTGAATATACTAAACACTGAATTGCTCACTTTAAAATGGTTCATTCTATGCGATTTGAATTTTACTCAAATGAAAAAGAGGGTGGGGGGGGCGGCGACATAAACAATTAAACAGTTCTAAAAAAAAAATTCAGAGTGCTAATCACTCTTCCTAAGGTTCTCGGACACAGTGGCGTAGTAACCCGTTTTCAGTAACGGAACAAAAAGTTAAACGCAGAAATCGCGGGGAACTTTTGAACCTCCTGCGGGCGGTTGGGCACCAGGGTAGGAGCCCTGGGGTTCCAGAGCTCAGCGGAGCAGACCCTCAGCGGAGCAGACCCACGGAGGGGCCCGAGCGGCTGGGGGCTTGGGACAGTCGCCCCTCATCCAAGGTAGCCCCGCCGGTCTCCGGAGCTGGACGTAGAGGCCGGGTAGCAGTTGGGTCTGCGGGTTTGTGTCGCTATTTGATTTTCCACGCTCGACAGCGTTGGCTAAGAGGCCCCGGGCCCGTGGGAAAAGAGCCGGAAGTGTGAGCGAGACGGGCAGCCAGGTGAGCGAAGCCTGGAGTTAGGCCCGGACCCCACAGAGGAGACACCGAGGCAGCCGTCGTGGCACGGGGGCGGCCCCGACGAGGCCCGCCTGCCCGGCACCCACGACCCCAGGCTCCGCAGCCGGGGGCACGCGCCCGAAAGGAAGCCCAGGTGGACCCCGCCGGGAACTGCAGGGCCAGCCTCCGCCCCGGACTCGGGTCCTTGGGACCCCGGGGCCAGTTCCCCGCGCGCCGCGCCGCACCCTGCACCCCCCGCCGGCCTGGGCCGGAGAAAGAAAAGCTCTGGGCTGGTGAGCCCGCCCGCGGGCAGGGACGCCGCTCCCCGGGACCCCGCGGCTCGGCCCGGGATCCCAGCCTTTGGGGGCCACCGGCTCGGCGGCTCTTGCCTGCTCTGGCCGGAGCAGGGGGTGCTCGGGAAGCGTAGTGAGCGGATTGAACGAATGCCCCGGTTGCCTTCATTGGCACCCGCGGAGAACCCGCAGGGGAAATGTGGAGCAGAAATCGCATCATGAATCTCTCTCCATTTTGCAGCGAGGTGCGCGCGCTGCGCGGGTGCAGGCGGCGTGCGCACGGGCGCAGCGGGGCAAGACTGGCGGCCCAGCGGCGGGCGGAGGGGGCCGGCCCTGGGAAACCGCGCCCCCGCCGAGGTCAGGGTGGAGTCCAGTGTTGCAGCCCGAGCGTCCCGGGGCCGCCTCTGGTCCGCACGCGCTGGCCGGGTGCGCAGCCATAGCGAACGCGCCACGTGGTGTTTGCCCCGTTCCGTAAGCCGCGGGGACGCGCGTCGCCGGGGCTTCTTGCCCCCGGGGTTGGGGAGCATCTTTTCCTCGCGCTTCTGGCTCCCTCTGTTCTGTGAAGCCGCGCTTTGGTCGGCGGAGAAAGGGAAGCGCAGGCTGACTTTAAGAACAGGAAAACCTTCGCAAATCGCCGGACTGACACTTCGGGTAGCATTAGAGGGCGACCAGTAGGGGTGGCTGCCAGCGGGGCCTTCGATAGCTCAGTTGGTAGAGCGGAGGACTGTAGTGGAGATCGCCGTGGCAATCCTTAGGTCGCTGGTTCGATTCCGGCTCGAAGGACTTCGTCTGTTTTTGCTTTTGCTTCTTTTGTTTGTTCGTTAAGCCCTTGACTCGATTAAATTACGCCCGAGGATTAAGGTGTTGTCTAGAGGCAGAACCGTGAATTTAGAAAGGCAGAGTACTGAGGGAATTCGGTCAGACACACGCGGTTAGTAATCGGTTGTAGTACTGTTGTCGACACTGCATGCAAAGGTATCTTCACATGTGCTTTAGAGCAAGGTCGTTTCGTCATTCCAGATGCGTGGTGGTGGTTTTATATTTGATTAACGAGTCTTGCCGACACACGGCTGAATAGCTTTTCTAAACCGACGCTCAGTCCCTGGGCAGTGGACAGGCCAGCATAGCCTGTAAAGCAAAGGGAAAGGGCTCGCAGCAGCTGGGGGATTAGCTCAAATGGTAGAGCGCTCGCTTAGCATGCGAGAGGTAGCGGGATCGATGCCCGCATCCTCCACTCAGCTTTTACTGGCGGGAAAGAACCTGGGACGAGCAGGCGGGCCAATGGCGCTGAGCCGAACGTTTACTGATACACACAGAAGACGAGGTGCGCCTTCATGCCGAGCCTTTTTCTTTATTTCACAGGTGAGCCTTTCCCACTTTACTGCTCGCCACTCTGTCCTTTCCTCCTCCCAGCAGGCAGGCCGTTAACCGTCTTCCGAGAAGACGCTGCTAGAACCCCTGCAGCCTGCCTGCCCGCCAGAGCCCCCAAACGGCGCCCACTCCAGGCGCCCACTCCCGCGCGAGGGAACCCCCGCACTCTGACCAATGGCAGCGAACCTTACTGGGCGGGTAGCCAGCCGTCCGTGCGTCCAATAAGCGGGCGGCTTGTTGTTTCCGGGCAGAGCGGGGCCCCGGCACCGCGGCGCTCCGGTTTTGTTTGGGTCCCAGGTGGAGGGCCCAGGTGCCGGGGCCCTAGGTGCAGCCTCGCTAGCGGGAGAGGGAGCGGGACCGCCGGCCCGGAGAGAGGTGAGGGCTCTGCGCGGCGTGCAGGCCCCGCCCCCTCTCAGCCCCGAGCCCCTCGAATCCCGTCCCCACCTCGACCCGGCCGGCCGACCCCGCCCCTCCGCCCGGGCTTCCCCGCCGCAGCCGCGCTCCGAGGGCGCCCCGGGCGCCCAGTCCCCGCCGGCCTGCGCTCCCTCAGGTGTAGCTCTGCCCCTACCGACCGTGCCCCGGGCAGGCTCGGCCAGCGCGGGCTCCTGCGCAGTCGAGCCCACCCCCACCACCCATGTGGAACTCCTAATAGCTCCCCTTTATTGGGGGGGCGGGGCTGCCAAGAGCACCCATTGCTCACCCACAACTACCAGGGGCCCCAGTGCTTACAGGATGGGAGGGGGCTGGACAGAGACTCAAGTTGCACCTGGGACTAAGCTAGGTGAGTAGGTGCCATCTTTCCGTTGGTGTAGCTTGGCAAAGGCCCGCGTCTCCCTGCCCTCCGTCCGTCCTGTGCAGAGGAGTGCGAGAGCAAAGAACCGGGCCTGGCGGGGCTCCGATCGTGCCTGGTGGGTACTTGCGAGGCCGCGCGGTGAATAAGCTCAGAAACTTGGTTCTTGTGTGCCCTGCCCTGGAGGGTGCACAGCCAGTGTAGACAGCTGACACCCTGAACGGCTTGTCTCTAAAGGTGGGCGTATCTTGGCTAGGTTTGGGAAATCTGACCTAATTTTAGGCTCCAGGCTTGGGCTGCAAAGAAGCTTGGAGTCTAGTATTTTTCAACGTAGTTAAGCCACGGAGGCTTCATTTTGAAACAGTCCAGCTGTAGTAACACGGTCCCTTTAGGAATGGTTAGAACCTTTAAGGTAGGGGTCAAAATGTTTTCTCTTGGCCACCTCCATAGGCCACTTCCAGGTTTCCTAAGGGAGCTCCCCAAGAGCAGCTCTCATTTATCCAAATACCCCCAGACACTGGTTTGGTTTTTCTTCTCTCTCCTGCACACTCCAAACCCTTGTCTTCCCAGCTCCCAGGGCCAGCGTGGGCAGGAGGATGCGTCCCCAGCCCTACCATGGAGCTGCGCTGTGGGGGACTGCTGTTCAGTTCTCGCTTTGACTCGGGGAACCTGGCCCATGTGGAGAAGGTGGAACCCTTGTTGAGTGATGGGGAAGGAGGAGGGGGTGGGGCGGCTGCCCCCATCAGCAGCAATGCCTCTTCCCCTGACTATGAATTCAACGTGTGGACCCGACCAGACTGTGCTGAAACGGAATTTGAGAACGCGAACAGGTAGGAGGCAAGGGAGGGCAGAAGAATGAAAAGTGGGGCCCTCCGGGTCCCATGTCCCTGCTCCTGTTAGCCTTTGAGAACCAGTCCATGCCAGCACACCGCCCTTCCTCTCCTGCTGCTCCCCTCTCTCTAGCCCTCCTCGGTAACATGACCTGCCCTGCCTACTCTGGTCCTCAGATCATGGTTCCACTTCAGTGTCCGGGGAGGAACTCCAGGGAAAGTCATCAAGATCAACATCATGAACATGAACAAGCAAACCAAGCTCTATTCCCAGGGCATGGCCCCCTTCGTGCGCACAGTGCCCACTCGGCCACGCTGGGAACGCATTCGAGACCGGCCAACATTTGAGGTAAGTTCAGTTCTCCCTGAGGAGGAAAGGAAGGCTTGGGTGCTAGCTGTCAGGGAGGAAAGGAGGAGACTGCCCTCGGCAGGACCACCACCAGGTTTGGGTGTCGGCTCCCTTGCTTCAGAAAGCCTAGAGGGCGCTGCTTGTTGTGGAAAGTAGCAGAGGGAGGGGAGTGGGTTAAGGGGCGGGGGAGGTGTGAGGTTGGCTCCTGGTGACCCCAACAGGAGCTCCGTTCTGACACCTGCGGCATGCTGCCCCTCCCTCTCCCTCCTCTGCTCCTCAGATGACAGAGACGCAGTTTGTCTTGTCCTTTGTGCACCGGTTTGTGGAGGGCCGTGGGGCCACCACTTTCTTCGCCTTCTGCTACCCCTTCTCCTACAGTGACTGCCAGGAGTTGCTCAGCCAGCTAGACCAGCGTTTTCTGGAGAACCAGCCTACCCATAGCAGGTGTCAACCCCATTCTGACCCTATGCCACGCCCTGGATCAGACAGCCCCTGAACCCGGCCCCAAGGATTCTGAGCTCAAGCCTTAGCAGTCTTTTGTCTGCAGGATGTGGGACTCAGGGTACCTTTGAGAAATAGGTTTCTTTGTGGCCTTAACCTCTGCAAAGTCAGCTGGCCTGAGGCCCTGCTCTGAGAAGACAGCCTGCTTGGGTTGTTCATGCGGCCACGCTCTACTCCCTCACCTGCCGGCCCAGGCCTCCATGAAGAGCCCAGTGCCCATCGATGTGCCTGCATTGAGCCAGCACTTACGATACTCAGCACACCTTGTCTCTGTCCCACGAGACAGCAGGTCTCTCTGTACAAGGGAATCTGTCCTAGGGAGCCACACACTAGGGGCTTTTTTATCGTATAAGTTTCTCTTTTGCTGTACGCTGTATCCTAGCAATGCAGACCCACGCAAAGCCTTAGCATCATTTCCCCTTGTGAGCAGTTAGTAAGAAATCAAGGTCAGGGTGAAGGATTGGGTCCTGCACGCCCCAGGCTCTTGATGAGGCCCGCCACTTGCCAGGACTGAGAGCTTCCCTACTTTAACGGTGCCTCTCCCTGCAGCCCCTTGGATACCATCTATTACCACCGTGAGGTCCTGTGCTATTCTCTGGATGGACTTCGCGTAGATCTGCTAACCATCAGCTCCTGCCATGGGCTTCGGGGAGACCGAGAGCCCCGTCTAGAGCAGCTATTTCCTGATGCCAGCACCCCCCGACCATTCCATTTCGTCGGCAAGAGGGTAAGTAGGAACAGCCTAAAAGACAGTATCTTGACCTTTTGGGGCTCCAGGCGCTGCTGATGGCTTAAGGCTATGTGACCTCTAGACAAGTTAGTCTCAGCCTGCGCCTTGAGGCAAGGATGAAGGCGCCTACCTCCAGCCAGCTGGGAGCCCACTGGCCGTCTGCCTCACCTTGGTGTAGAGCTGTAGAGTTCACTGACCTGATACCTGCTCTCCTCTCCACCTTAGGTTTTCTTCTTAAGCAGCAGGGTGCACCCTGGGGAGACTCCCTCGAGCTTTGTCTTCAACGGCTTCCTGGACTTCATCCTCCGACCGGATGACCCCCGGGCCCAGGCTCTCCGTCGCCTCTTTGTCTTTAAGCTGATTCCCATGTTGAACCCTGATGGTGTGGTCCGGGGCCACTACCGGTAAGAAGCCTCCCCAGGCCCAGCCCCACATGGAAATACTATCAGCCATATCATCTAACTTCTCATGGACCCTGACGGGGCAAGCTGTCTATCCTTAGTGACCAGAGAAGGAATGTGATCCCGTCAAGGGGCACTCCCTGGATGGGGCAGGATCAGAATATCTGCCAGACCACTTGGCTAAAGGCCTCTGTGGTCTGGGGGTGATAGCAGGTCAAAGAGGGGAGTAGTCCTCAGTTTTCCTAAGGTAACTTCAGCTTCATTTTGTAAGTCAGTGTCTCACAGCCATTATTCCGTCTACTCTAGCACCTCCTTCACTAGCCCAGTGCCCTAGCTCCTGCCTCTCAGCTCTTATTTTCCTACAGCACAGACTCGCGGGGAGTGAATCTGAACCGCCAGTACCTGAAGCCTGACGTGGTCCTGCACCCAGCCATCTATGGGGCCAAAGCTGTGTTGCTCTACCACCACGTGCACTCGCGTCTGAACTCCCAGAGTGCCTCTGAGCACCAGCCCAGTCCCCACCTCCCTCCTGATGCCCCCCTTTCTGACCTTGAGAAAGCCAACAATCTTCAGAATGAAGCTCACTTTGGGCAGCCATCTGATGGGGGGAACCCTGAGACCTGGAAACAGACAGAGACGGCAGACCAGAAGCCCAACGGCATGTGGATTCTGCCGCAGCCGTCCACTGAGGTTGAGGAGCCCGCCCTGGAGAGCATCCCTCCCAAGGAGAGTGGCGTGGCCTACTACGTGGATCTCCATGGACATGCTTCCAAACGGGGCTGCTTCATGTATGGAAACAGCTTTAGTGATGAGAGCACCCAGGTAGGAACCCCGAGTGTGTCCTGTGACGGGCAGGGAAGCACTACAGGTGGCGGAGAGAAGGGGTAGGTCCTGAGCAGAGTGTGCAGGCCACCTGGCAGGAAGGCCTTCACTGCAGTCGGCCAGAGGTGGACTGCCTTTGATGGGCTTCGAAGGGCCGAGAAGGGATGGCATTGTCCTCGTCAGTGGGTTATGAGCCACACTGTCAGCTCTGGAGTCTTTCCTAGAGCCCGTGAATCCAGGGAAGAAGGACAATTTGGCATGACTGAGCGGATAAAGCTCGGTCTTCCCCAGATGTAGAACTGATATCCGACATTCGGAGAAATTTCAAGAAATGCTGACTACTAATGGTAGTGTACTGGCCATGAGCTGGGCTGCTAACCTCAACGACAGCAGTTCGAAACCGCCAGCCTCTCCTCAGGAGAAAGCTGAGGCTGTCTACTCCCGTGAAGAGTTACAGTCTGGGAAGCCTCCACAGGGCAGCTCTGCCCTGCCCTACAGATGTGAGTCGGCACCGACTTGCAGGCAGCAGACTGGTGTGCTAGCTATGGAGTCGCTCGGCCCCATGCCTGCAGTCATGCTCTTCCCTTCTTTATCTCCTCTGAATTGCCTTCCCCCCAAACAGGTGGAAAACATGCTGTACCCAAAACTCATCTCCTTGAATTCTGCTCACTTCGACTTCCACGGCTGCAATTTCTCAGAGAAGAACATGTATGCCCGAGACCGTCGAGACGGCCAGTCTAAGGAGGGCAGCGGCCGTGTTGCCATCCACAAAGCCTCAGGGATCATCCACAGGTTGGGGTGAAAACTCAGATGGAGTCTATAACAATAGCTTTCCTAAGGAAAAGGACACCCAGTCTAGGGCGATTGTACAAGATGAGGCTCAGCGGCAGTGGTATGGTCTTTAGTCTGGAACTCTCCCTTCTTGGATCTGCCCAGGGTTGTGCCCAGGGCAGCTGCTGGTTGTCACAGGGGGGCAGAATTTTCCATCTGGACTTCCTCCCCCGCCCCCTGCCTCCCAGCATGGGGGTCACTTTCTTAGACCACGTCAGCCATAGGTTCTCAAACTTATTCTGAAAACTACTGCCCCATTTTCGGGGGGTGGGGGATTACTCAGTGTACCCCCTGGCAATTAAAAACTTTTATACTATAGACCTAATCCAGGATAAAGGGTGGGTACCAGCTTTGGTGAGCGTGTCGGCCACTATGGGAAACACTGACCAGGCGATCCCTGTGGCTGACCTGTAGGGTTTTCAGGCAGGACACTGATAGAAATCTCTGTGTCGTAGCTATACACTTGAATGCAACTACAACACTGGACGCTCAGTAAACAGCATCCCCGCTGCCTGCCATGACAATGGGCGTGCCAGCCCCCCGCCCCCGCCGGCTTTCCCCTCCAGATACACAGTGGAATTGTTTGAGCAGGTATGGACATCTGGGCTAATGGACAGGGGGATCCTCGGAGTCTGCCGAGGTTTTACTCCTACTGCCCGCCTCAGGCCCTTTGAAGACACGAGACACTGCCGCCACAGTCTGGTCTCAGCGCTCGGCTTATCACGATGCTTAGAGGATGACCGGGCGCAGTTTCTGACCCCCAGGCTGCAACGACCACCAGCGCGCCTCAGTCATAGATCCTTCACCCCTGTAGGGCCTGTTCACCCCGGGCTTGGACACACTCCCCCAACAGTGGGCTGGGCTTGATGACCTCAGGGTCTTAGTGCACCAAGAGGAGTAGGGAGAGCCGTGGGCTGTAGAAGACCCAGATTCCTCACAATGGATGAAGGCCCTAAAATGATTAAGAGTTTAGCGAACTGATGTAAACCTCAAAGTTGGGTACACTCGAGCGAAAGCTAGACCTGGCCTACTACCCAGCCCCAGCACCCCACCTCCCCCACCCCCAGCCTGGACTGGAAGAGCAGGCTGCTAAGGCAAACTGGACTTCCCGCAGGTGGGGCGAGCTATGGCCATTGCCGCTCTGGACATGGCTGAATGCAATCCGTGGCCCCGGATTGTGCTGTCAGAGCACAACAGCCTCACCAACCTCCGGGCCTGGATGTTAAAGCGCGTGCGCAACAGCCGGGGCCTGAGCAGCACCATGAATGCGGGCGGCAACAAGAAGAGAGGCTCGCGCATGCCGCCCAAAGGCAACACGTAAGACCAGCAGGCCAAGTGGACGCCCCACAGGCTCTAGAGTTAGGAATGCCAAGGGATTTCTAGTCCCACCCTCCTCAAATTACTACAGGGGTCCTATTTCCTGGGTAAATGAAAATGCATAGTGAGCTCGGTCTAGGGAAGGAGAGCCTCCTTCCTTCCACCTGGAGGGACCTAGACACACTTCCTAATGAGCTGAACACCAGGCCAGCAACTCCTGCTCCACAGCCTGTACAGAACCAAATGCCTGAGTGTGACAGGGTGAGGGTGCAAAAGGAGGCGTTAAGGGCCAAGACCAGGAGGAGGAGATTCCGGGGGCATGCATAAAGCTGCTCAGGTTCAGCTTTCCCAGCACCGCTCAGAGGCTCCGGAGCGCTCAGGGCCCCTGAGATGAGCTGGCCCATCCCAAGTTAGAGAGCTCACCCCTGGGCTTGAGTCCCTTAGCATGTGCCTTCTGGAAGCTCTGCTGAGCATCAGACCCTGGCGACGCCTCGGGCACAAGCTCCCTGCCAGCGTTAACTGGCATCTGGTTCTTTGCAGTGGCCTGCCTGCTTCCTGCTCTGAAAACGCCCTGAGCCGGGCCCGAAGTTTGAGCACTGGCACAAGTGCTGGTGGCAGCAGCAGCAGCCAACAAGGTTCTCCACAGATGAAGAGCTCCCCCAGCTTCCCTTTTCACGGCACTCGGCCTGCTGGGCTGGCAGGCCTGGTCCCCAGCACCCACAAGATCAACCACCGGGTGCTGGGCCCCGTCAGAGGTAAGCCAGTCTGGGAGCCCCTGCAACAGGTGTTCAGTTGTTTGGGACATTGCTGGGGGAAGTGAGCACTTGAAGATACACCCCCGCCAGGACAAAGGGTGCATCAATAAAATTAGTTTCTAGCAGAATCTGCAGCCTTTCCTGTGAACATGGTGTTCCCCGTGGTACGAGCTCCAGGCTGGTCCTCTGGGTGGCCACGGGGGATGTCCTAGGCACCTGGGCTTTAGCACACGCTGGTGGCCAGGAGAGTTTCCAGAGACAAACCACTAGCAGAAACAGTGCCAAACAGGGACATGGTGTCAGTCCAGCTGCCGGGGGCAGTTTAAGGACATATCCCCAGAAGCCAAACTGAGCACTGTCCAATGACAGAGAATCTTGACCAGGTCACTGTGGTTGAAATGGATCCTTCCTTCCGAACCGATTCAGAAAATGTTATCAGGAGGATTCCATCTCTCCAAAGAAAAATGGAACTACAGCCAGCTTCTAGTCGAGCGTTCCAAAGCCAAGGTCTAGCACTGCCCCTCAGTGGCCACGTGGTTATCTCTGCATCAACACCCCTAGGTTTTCTGGGGGATCCTGCCATAAGACAAGAGCGGCTGGGTCAAAATTTATACCAGAAACAGATGGGTCTTTGGGGAAAAAGAAAAGAAGTAACTACAGGGCCATTCCTTGGGAGTCACCTCAACTGTGGTGGGGAGAGGAGATGGTGGTAGGGCCATTTCTGGAAACACAGCTAGCCCACAAATCAGTACAGCATGTGGCTTCTGGACAAGAGGATTCTATCCATAGCGGGGAAGTTGATGAGCTTTTCTAACCACCCTGGTCCTGGTCAGCATTTCCTGTACTCAGCGTCCAGCCTCACTTCTGGTAGCCCTGAAACATGCAGTCGGTTGAAGACTGAGTCTGCTCACTCTAGTTGGAGTCCACTAAGATGTTCTAGCTGGTCTCTTCTGCATATAGTTTCATGCCCAGTTAATTACTTGGGACTCTGTCTTCATTGGGAAGCTCAGCCTTTCTGAAGGCGAGTGTTACAGTAATATAAATGGCTAATATTTAACAGTGAAAATAGGATCACATGTGTAATTTCAGGTAATCTTCACGGAACCTTCTGGGTGGATGGGTTTGTGTTGCTCTGATGAGGAAACTTGAGTGGCTCGTCCAGGAGTACAACAGTACTATTGGAAGTGTCAGCCGATCACGTATTTCCACCCAGAGCATGCCCATGGAAGTGACACATACAGTATTCGAGGAAACATGGGGTTGCCAGGCAAACTGTGTAATAGGTGTGTTATTTATATAAAAATATAGGTGTTACTCCAGAAAAATCTGTATTCAGACCCATCTTAAATTCTAAATCTGGATGAAGTTCTTTCTTCTTAAAAGTCATCAATCTTTTGTGGCTCCTAACTGAATTCCTAGGGAGGAATATTAGCTTCATGAATTTTCCTACCCTAACCACAGGAGAAATAGGAAAGAACCTTTTGCAGGTCCTTACTGAGGACTCTGGGAAGATTTTAATCAGTGTTTCATTGACATCCGTCCTGCCCTGCTTCTCGGTGCAGAGCCCTATATTGAATTCCGAGGGGTGAGGGGTATGTCTTCTATCACTGTTTGCTACTTCCTCCAAGAACTATTTGCATAGTCAGTTCTAAGTACTTCCTTGTTGATTGACGTGAAACATAATAGGAAGCGGGAGCGCAAATGCAATATGAAAGCAGACACACTGTGAGCCTACAGAGGACATAGGGATCAGTTGGGGTAAACACGAGTTATTAGCCAGAGTGGAGAACGTTTTGAAGGATGGGAGGTGTGTGGTTTGACAAACACACCAGAGATGCGACATGAGAGCCAGGAACAGAACAGAGCTGCTGGGCCAAGAGGACAGGAGGCAGGTATACCTGGTCAAGCCCTTCCAGATGAAGAATAGTGGGAGATGCTGAAATGCCTTGAAAATAAAGACGACAAATTAACTGAGATGTAGGGCACCACTGATGTGCTATTGAGAATAAGAGGAATGAAAGACTGAGTGGAGGAAAGTTGCCTGTGAACTGTATACATTGGCCAGGCCAGGAGAGCCGAGATCTTTGCAGTAGTTTATATTGAGATGGTTAGAGCCAGTATCAGGATCTAGAAAGAAAAGATAAGCCTAAGTATTAACAGGAGAAGGGACAGGGCTCCGTGATGGTGAAAGAGAGAGGAATTAATAGGACTTGAAGGTGACAAGCTGGAGGGGAAAATACCACACTGACATCAAGACATTGTTGGAAGAAAGGGCGCTGAGCTCTCTATTGTAGGCATGCCTGGTGGTTAGGGTCTGCCTACATGGAGATATCCTGCAGGGCCCGAATGTAAACAAAGTCAGATGTCAAGCTCTGAGTCATCCATGTACAGGTGTCAGGTAAAACCAAGTGAGCAGTAGGTTTCCCCGGGTGAATGAGCTTAGAAATAGAGAGAGGCTCATGGCTGGAGTAGCTTCTAAAATATTTGTAAGAACTCAGAAATGTTTCTAAAGTCAAGTGATCAAAGGGTTACTAAAACACTAGAAGTAACATTGGAAGGCCAGGTTCTGGGAATCCTGACTCCCCTGTCTGGGCATTGGTTGGAGCTGATTTTTTTGTTGCTGCTTCATCCCTGGAAGCCCCCAGGATGGGAGACTGGCTGGCACGGAGCAGAGGGGCCTACGAGGCAGACTGTGCTAACTGAACTTGGTGTCTTCAGCCCACCCTTAACAAAATTCAAGAATTTTGTCCTATGCTGTCACTTTGTGACATTTCCTAGTTCCACACAGTAGGTAATTTGGTACCTACCACACAGCCTGCTTTGTCTTCCAAATTAGGAAAGAGCATGAGCCCCTAAGCTGCAGAAATCGAACTTAAAGCAATTCTATTTTTCCAAACCCCTAATTGAAATTGTAATTTGACAAAGGGCTTTTTGCTTTTTAAAAAATGCCCCACTACAGCATAGAAATCATGATCTATTTAACTATCTAGTGCAGTGGTTCTCAACCTTTCTAATGCTGTGACCCTTTAGTACAGTTCCTCATGTTGTAGTGACCCCCAACCATAAAATTATTTTTGTTGCTACTTCATAACTGTAATTTTGCTACTGTTATGAATCGGGCGACCGTTGTGAAAGGGTCATTCGACCCCAAAGGGGTCTCGACCCACAGGTTGAGAACCACTGGATTTTAGTGACTGTCCTTATCCCTTATAGGCTAGAACAAAATAAGGGATGGGGCCAACCAGAAAATTTCTGGAAAATCTAAGCTGCCCAACTAGAAGGCAGAGGTTCAGAGACTAGGGGACGACATTTTAGAAGGCCTAGAAAGTGGGTGAGCAGGAATGTTTCTGAGATGAGAGTCTTGTGTAAGCCTTGACCCCAGGACCCCTAATCCTAGGGCCAGGTTGTTCTCTGCCTGAGTGTCCACAGCTGAGAGACAAGTCCTAACCCCCCACGTGCACAGCCCCACAATCAAGTTCCCACTCACCTGGTTTAGGAGCAGCTGCTCGTATGGGGACTTTTAGGCTCTGTCTACATGCGACCTCTTTTCACCCAAGAAATTTGCAACTCTACTGAGTGCTGCCATAAACACCTCGATTCATTATGTTTGACTTTGAATTTTTGGTCCTTGCAAGTTCAGAAGCCTTTCACTAATTTCACTCAGTCCCACATGGGGTCACAGTGCACAGTGTAAAAGGCTTTGTGAGTGCAGAGGAGTCCCCGGGGTCAGCATACGCAGCTGGAGGGAGGGCAGCTGGTGCAAAACCAGATGCAAGCAGAGGGAAGAGGACCTGCTGGGGTGGGGTGGCCAGTCTCCCTAGGGTGGTGCAGGCTCCAGCAGGGCCAGGCTAGGGGGACGCAAGTCAGGGGCTTCTCAAACCAAAACTCACCGCCATTGACCCACTCACAGCCACCCTGTAGTCCAGCTGTTGTCACCTGCATGCCCACCCCTTCAGTTCTGTCATGAAGCCCTGAGGTTACAACTTTCTCGGTCAGTGCAATTCTTTGTCCCTGCCCTGCTGCAGGCAGGGAAGTTCAAGAGTGGGTGAAGGTCGCTCTGGGCGGTGAGCCAGCAGGGAGGGGAGGCCGTACCTCTCAGTCCCTTTACCTTTCCCGCTGCAGAGAAACGCTTCTTATGAAAGGCCAGATTAAAACTTAGTGACGGCAGCAACTACCTCCTCACACACCTGTTTGTTCCCTCGGCACCTAGCACTCTGCCTGGCCCCTGAAGTGCCGTGTAAACACTTGTGGAAGGAATGGGACTGGTGGCCGAAGGCTGTGAGGAATCATTGCCATCATCCCTGGGAGCAGAGCTGCTCAAGGACCACTTGGGCTACTCCTTAAACTGCTGCTTCTGGAACCCTCAGAACCCAGAAATAGCATTGGGGCTCCTTCATTTACATGTCTCAAATCGGGATGGAGTAGGCCTGGGTTCTACCAGGAGCCCTAAGTCAAAACTGGAGAAACTGGGCTTTCTGCTTAATTTACCAAGTGCCAGGCCTACTCCAGAGTCTCAGTAGTCGCTAGGTGACGAATGAAAGGCCCCCTTAAATGCCTTCCGCTCTCCAGACCAGAGCCCTCGCCTGGACCCCACAGTGCCACCCACCCTCCCACTCTGACAGGGGCAGGATTCCTTGGGTGTGCCCAGAGTATCTTCACCTTGACCCCACGTTGATATTTTGTCGCTAACTCACCTGCTTTGCCTCTCAGGTGTCGCCCACTTTCTTCTAGAACTCACTAGTGGCCCAAAGGCGCTGGCTCACTTCTCATGTTGAGAATATACACACTCACACACACACACCAACTCTGCCCTTTCCACACGGACTTCATCGACAGTGTGTTCTTCACACCATCCTCACCTTATTCTCTGTCACTCTTTCTTGCTCACTCTGACTTTTAACCCTTTCCTGGGGGAGTGGCTGAGGTAGAGTTCATCCCTGTATAACACAGGTATTTCTCCAACATCATCAAACCATTATCATCCACCTACTGTTTACTGTCACCTGGTGACATCCTGGCAGCCCTGTTTTAACCACAGAATTACCAGGCCTGGGGGGTGGGAGTGCTCTAGGGTCTAGGAGCCCTGGTGGCACAGTGGTTACAAGTTGAGCTGCTAGCTGCAAGTCAGCAGTTTGAAGCCACAAGCTGCTGCTCCCCAGGAGAAAGACGGGACTTTCTACCCGACTAGAGTTAGTCTCAGAACCCATCGGGCAGTTCTCCCTTGTCCCATAGGGTCACCGAGTCGGAATCGGCTCCATGGCAGGGAGTTTGGTTTGGTGCCTAGGGCAGTGGTTCTCCACCTTCCCAATGCCGCGACCCTGTCACAGAGTTCATGTGGTGGTGACCCCAACCATAAAATTATTTTCATTGCTACTTCATCACTGTCATCTTGCTGCTGTTATGAATCAGGTGGCCCCTGTGAAAGGGTCGTTCAACCTCCCAAAGGGGTAGCGACCCACAGGTTGAGAACCGCTGGCCTGGAGTGTCTTGAGTCACTGGTGGTAGGTCATGTGTCGGGTCATTTGACTGTGGGCACGTGGCTCTGGCTTCTGTGGTCTGGTTGGCATCGCAGCCCCACTTCTCACTAGTTATTTTTTGACTCTTGACTATCACTTAAGCCTCTGATCGGACTCAGCATCTGTTTAGCTTCTTGTAGCTAGAGTAGCTTCCATCCGGAGACCTCTTCCTGTCCTCTGTCCATTGTTCACATAGCTATCCCGTTGGGTGTTACTTGGTTTGGGACCTTTCAGAGACTTGTTACTATCACCCACTTCCCAAGTTGAGGCTTTTCACATCTAACATGTTTCATTAGGGATCAAACAACATTCTGGAAGCTCCATTCAATTCAGCTGACCTGCTGCCCCCCTGTGATAAGGGCCCACCAAACCTGCAGTTCTCTCCACCAGTTACCTCCCACCCACCCCCATCAGTGTCTGCCTTGTAGGACCTCACCCTACAGGACCTCTAGCTGCAGGAATGAGACCAGAAAGAGCAGGCCCCAGAGAGTCTAACCATCTGCCCTGAGATTAGGCAGTGCATGGGCCACAGTGGGTGTCTGTGTTTCAGTGAACATTTATTAAAGACTGGCTTTCCAGGCAGCTTTCCATAAGCACCGGGGTAAATGCAGGGGCTTCAAAAAGTTTATGGCAAAATAATGTAGTTTGTTCCAGTATAACCCACTACAGGCCATGTGACCAGTGGGGGGGGGGCTATTCAGGTGACACTGGAGACTGCACGTGGAAGCTGGAGACAGCAGCTGTCAGAGGTGGTACGGAGGGTCACGCCAGCACCCTTTCAAGAATGTGCAGATTGGGACCACAGAGGGAAGGGCTCTGAATGCCATATAAAAAGGTTTAAACTCTATCATTTAAATGACTTTCATCAGGACTCTACTCTTGTAGACTAATAATTTCTGGCATCTGCGTGAAGGGTGATTTAGAAAAGGGAAAAGACTCAAGCTAGGGAGAGCAGCAGAGGGTCTTTTCAAAAGGCCCGATGAGAAAGAAAGCCCTACATCTGGCCACTGGCAACAGCAAGAAAGTAAGAATTTAAGCCATGGCAGGGATGGAATATTCAGGGTTTGAAGAAACAGGTCTAAATTCAAGAGGAGTCAATGGATGACGTAAAATGTCCAACAGATTTGCAGCAAAGGTATTCAGAACAAAAGGAAGGCTGGGTGGCAGAGAATGAGCCCCGCTGGGGCTCAGGCACGATTTCTGGGTAGAAATGTCGAGGGCACTATCAGAAATGAAGTCCAGGAGAGCAGGGCTCAGGAGAGATCTGGGAATTTAGACCAAGGATAGAATGGAGGGGAGCCGTGGCAGTAAGGGGAGGAGGAGCTGTTAAGAGACCAGAGAGCCAGGGAAGCGGTGTCTCAGAATCCAAGCTCAATTATTCTTGGCCAGAACAACAAACTGTAGGGTGAGCAGGTGGGCTCATTCAAGAAATGTTACCGAGATGAAGGAGGATGCTAGGTGAGAAGTGGATCACTGCAATAAATATTCAGTCTCTCTACCCATGTCTGAATTAGTCCAGAAGAGGGCTGCGGGCCAGATGGCAAACCCGAAAACAGGCATCTCCTGAGCAAGGGGAGCCCACTGAGTGAAGGCGCTCTCACCCACACCTCACTTAACTGCGCTTTTCTGTGCTTGTGTCCTTTCCACTCAGAGCCCCGAAACCAGGACAGGAGACGGCGGCAGCAGCCACTGACCCATCGCCCTACTGCAAGCAGCCTGGTCCCATCCCCAACGCCCACTAGTTCTGGCCCAGCCTGCTCACGCAACATGGGCTCCTGCCTGCTGTCCAACTCACTCAGCATATCAGGTCTGTACCCACTGCCCTTGGGATCTAGGGTGACCAGCATCCTCCCACCCCTATCACCCAGAGCATGGTCCAAGCTCCCGAGTAGGCCTAAGGAAATACCATCAGCCATGCTGGCACCTGACGTAGACATCCTCCTGGACCTGATGTTAAAGCAAGCCACTCCCGCCCAGAGACGTCTGTTACCTTCCCAGCTCTCAACCTGGATTACCAAACCCCCCAAATACTCCTGCCCTTGGACAGGGCGCCGGAACCCAATGGATTTTGTATAATAAAATACTAGCCAACGAGGGGGGCATTGGTCGTTTAGTGGTAGACTTCTTGTGTCCCATGTGGGAGACCTGGGTTGGATTCCCACTTAATCCACCGCGTCACTCATCTGTCAGAAAAGGCTCGTGTGTTGCTCTGACGTTTCCACAGAGCTTCCAGACGAGGCAATCTGTAGCCCCAAATCAGCCGGTGGAAACCCTACGGTCACAACTACCTGATTGGATGGCACAGAATGGAGCAGCACCTCGTCCTGTTGGGCACAGGGCCAACTCGGTGGCAGCTAATAACTAGCCTTCACTCAGTGCCAGGCACTACTCTGAAACGCTCGATCTTACTCACTCTTCCGGTTGACAGTTAGGAAGCTGAGGGGTTTTCCTACCAGCAATGTGCTGTTTACCGAGGCTCCGTCTGACATGAGCCAGGCAACACTGGACAAGATGAAGAACAGCGCTTGCTGCACACGTTGGGGACTAGTTTCCACACACCACTCTGGGCTTCTCCGCTCCTCTCATGTTCGGGCCCCCGCTGTGTGTAAAGGACTGGACAGGGCTAATTTCTACAGCTCCCATCTCAGAAGCTGCCCCTTTAACCTGGTACTCTCCTCAGTGAGATGCCTTCAGTCCACCAGTCTCGGGTACTGCTGGCTTGGTTCTTAAATGCTTAAAACACCTGATTATGTCCCAAGGTCTATACATTGAGCAAAGTAATTGAACTCAAGGGCAGGCAAGATGGCACCTAACAGACAAATGCCCAAGGATGCTGTTAAATAGCCTATGTATGACACCTCCCTGCCCCCCAACAACTTATCCATAGTGCCAAGGATGAGAAGTCCTGATGTTAAGGAAGTTGCCTCTCTCCCCCATGGCCCCCACCCTGGTGATCAGTGTCCTTTGTTCTCTAGGGGGCAGCTGCTCACTCTTGTCCTCAGGGGACAAGCCAGAGACCGTCATGGTGATTGGGAAAGGGCTGCTAGCAAGTGGCACCCGGAACCCCTGCATCCGGACCCGGCTGCAGGTAACTGGTGGGTCTTCCCCAGGCCCCAGCATAACTGCACTGGCAGAGCCCAGACAGGCACTCTTCAGCTGGGTAGTGGGAGGGGCAATGCCCAGCACTGCTTTGTAGCCTCTCCCCAGCTGCTCTGGAAGATTAGAAGATGCTCGGGGCCTGTCTGCCCAGCGTCCCACCCCATCAGTTAGGCCTCTCTCTTGCTTGCTTCCCACCTGTGTCCCTGCCAGATACACCCAAACCTCAGCCCGCCAGCTTTGGCTTTCCCTGCTCTGCCCTTAGCGTCTCCTCTCTTTCTGCCCAGACCTGCCCGAGGAGAGTTTCCGCCAAGAGGGGTCCCGGATTCCCCAGGTAACACATCTAGTTGCCGTTCCCAGGAACAGCTGTGCCACCAGCTCCAGTTCAGCCCAGGTCCCCAAACTAGGGTGGCTAAAGTTGGCTAACAGCAGAAGCTGACTGCATGGGGGAGCTTACGGTGCTCCAGCAGGGGCTGAGGCCCAGATGACTCCGAGGGAGGCCAGCCTGTCTGCACAGTGCTTCTCTCCTCAGCCAAGCCTCGGCCATGGGTAGCGGTGGAGGTTCAACACTGCATCTTTTGGCTGCTAGTTAGGGCAGACGCAGAGTGCATCGTCACAGATGGAAGCGAGTAGTTCTCTGGCCATTGCCTTGCCTCCCCTCAGCACAAGACCAAACCAAACCCTCTGCCGCCAAGTGAGCTCTGACTCATGGCCAACCCTGCAGGGCGGCAGGGAACTCCCCCACAGGGTTTCCAGGACTGTAGCTCTGTAAGGAAGCACACCGCCACGTCCATCTCCCGCAGAGCAGCTGGTGAGTTTAAAACAGTGACTTTCTAGTTAGCAGCTGCAGCACCACGGCCCCTCACAGCTAGGGGCAGTGCCTGAGACGTCACAGACCAAGTGCCCACGCTGACTCCTGGGCCGCACTCTTCTGAAGAATGCAGCCTCTTAGCCCACCCCTGTCCACACAGGCTAGGCCCAGGTTGGGCCGGGGCTCACCGCCGACTCGCAGAGGGATGAGAGGCTTTTCGGGCCCTACACCCCCTACTCCTCGGAGCAGGAAGGTCAGTGAGCCGGAGCCAGGACCCTGCTCTGCTGCATCAGGGTGAGCACCAGGGTCCATTTCCTCTCCCCATCCTTCCTTCTGTCCCCTCACGCCCACCTCTGCCCTTCAGGCCAACCTTCTTCCTTCCCAACCCTTTGATCCCAAGGACTAAATGGACTTTTAAGATTCTTAGTCACAACCCCCCCCCCCACACACACCATGGCCTTCATCTTTACTCCCAAAGGCAAGAAAACAACTTCTAGTTAGGGTCTAGGGCCTAGGGGCAGGGCTCGCTTGTCTTCCACCACTACATAGCAATAAGCCCGCCTGTCCTGGCCTTGCGTCTCCTCTCTGACCAGAAGAGGGGCAGTTTGCACAATCCTGACTTCTCTCTCCTCTCTGTTGCAGGCTGCCGCCTCAGGTTGGGCCTCCGCGGCCCCACTCTGCCCCTGCCTTTTCTATTTCCTGTAGTCTATCTGACTCCCAGTCCCGGACCTGTTACAGCAGGGGGCCCCTGGGCGAACCTGAGGTTTGTTTTGTCCCTAAGTCCCCCCCACTCACCGTGTCTCCCCGGGTCTGAGAAAGCTCACCCAGGCCACAGTCCCAAGCTGGGCGAGCACAGTGCAGAATGTGCTAGTCCCCTCCTTCAGCTGCTGACTCCACGTGACAACCGTAACTACGGAAAGTCAGCAGTGCTGCCCAAAGCACCTTGACAGGACAGGGCAGGACCTGCCACAACCTCCCGGCCGTCCACAGCACAAGATTTGGGGACCACAAAAAATATATATATCTATATTTTTATATTGGGGGGGTGGGTAGAAAATCCAGCAGCCCCTATAGTGGGCCCTGATATTCAGTGGCAGCTTCTTGTTCCATAGGGTTAAGGAAGACTTTGAGGAAATAAAAGTTGTTTGGAAAACTCCAGGTGTAGTTGCTTTGTATGTTGTGGTGGGTAGAAGGGATGAAGTGAAGGGTGAGGGCGGGCCCTCACACCCTCCATCTTGCCTCAGACTAGGTCCTGGAACCCTAGAAAAGAGGGGGAAAGACCCGAGGTAAGGAACGCGCTGCAGAGTCCTGGGGAGTCGACGTTTCTGACCCACTCTTATTCAAGTTGGTCCTCACGGCCGCCCTCCCGCCCCCATCCTTTCTCTTCTCCGGGTTGAGTCTCCGGAGCCAACCCCTGAATCCATGACCTTTGCCCCTGAGCATGTTAACAGAATTCATCATTACACTGTCACAAAAAATCCCGGCTGGATACGGGCCTGACCGATTTAGGGAAATGGAGGGCTACTGAGCCGGAAACCCCAAATCCTCCTCCTGGGATGTCACCCACACTGCCTCCTGGTAACCGTTGCCCCAACTTGAACTCTACCAAGATGGGGCAGAAGGGCACTGGGGGGCCCGCCCCCACCGTAAGGTACGAAAGTTTAGGGTGGGGGCGAAAGTCCTCCGAAGCATTCGCTTCTCTGCGTGCAGAAAGGAGCCCGGTTCTGGGCGCACCCTGCTTGCCCCCACCCACCACCTTGTGATGAGCAGGGTCGCGCCCCGCGGGCCCTGGTGCGGCCAAGCCACTCCTTCCTCCGGGGGCGAGCGCCACAGCCCCGGTCCGTTACCTGGGGCTGAGCGCGCCGCTTCAGTCCTGCTTCTTGGGATTGTTGACGGCCACGTAGTGGTAGAGGACGACAAGCAAGAAGAGCGACACGCCCAGCATGTTGGCGAAGATGGCGAGCTGCACGTCCGTGATCATCCTGCGGAGCAGAGGGCGCGCTGAGTCCTCGCCCCCACCGACCAGCCACCCGGCCGGCGGACCCGGGGGGGCGGGGGACGGCCGGGGCAGCTGCTCACTCTTGTCCTCAGGGGACAA